GTTTGCATGCAGGGAAACTGGACCTTCCCCAAGGGGTGATGCTGGAACTGAGCTCTGGAAAAACTCAGCCTGCGGAGAGAATTTCCAGCTCGTTCCCTGGGGTGTTGCTAGAAAATGCAGGAATCGCTCTGGAGCGGCTGCTGTCCCCGATGGTGGGGCAGGATCCGCTCGGGGAGGGCGGCTGGCTCAGCTCTCACCCTGTGACTCCAAGGATCAGTTCTGCATTTTCTAATTTTGCTGCAAAAACTCAGCTGATAACCCGCGGAGCTCCGTTCCCTGCCGCTGCCCTGCCCTCGCTGGGACAGAGCGCAGCGGGGACGTGGTCGCGGGTGGGTTTTTCCCTCCGGTGCGCAGGTCAGAGGGTGATGGTGGAAGGATGGGCACTAACCCCTCGGGTTTTTTTCCTTAAATTTGGTGCGTTAAGGACTCATGATTCTTATCCAGTCTATGCAGACAGGCAGAAGGCTGAGCCCAAACCCCAGCCCTTCCGTGCACACTCCCCTGCCTGCTCTGTCCCCAGCGAAGACCGAGTCCAACCTGGCCAACCACCTTCAGCAGCATCAGCTGTGGTTCCTGGACGGATTTTAAAGCCGTGAACAGGTAAATGCTGCTTTTTCTCACCTGGGAAGGATCTCCAGAGGAGATGGTTTTGTGTCTGGAGCCCTCAAACCACCCAGTTGGGACTGCAGGGGAACGGCGCAAAGGCCGGCAGCGGCAGCTTGTGCTGCTTGTCCTTGCACCCGCGCGGGGACGGGGCTGTGTCGCTGCTGTCCCCACTGTCCCCACCTGTTCCTCGGCTGCCCTGCTGGTTCCTCCTGCAAGCCTGGGCCACGTTCTCTGCCCTCTGCCTGCCCTTCCTCTCTACATTTCTCCAGTGCTTTTCCTGGAAGAGGCGAGTCCTCCCTCAGCTCTCATGCACGCAGGTGGAGCTGCTTCTGCTTCTCTTGGGCATGGGGTTTGGGTTTTTTTTCCTGGGGAAAGACTTTCTGGAGGCTTTGGGTCTGATCCCTGCCCCGTGCGGCTCTGCTGGGTGCACACGTGGGAGCTCAGCCCCTGCCCCAAAATGCTGCGTCCCAACTAGCTGCTGCTTTGCTTCGAAATCCCGGCAATTTCAGAAAAGATTTGAAAATTTTGCATTTAAAACAATGATGCTGTAGTTGATCTGCATCTCTCCTGGGCTGAGCAGCTCCCCTGATTTTGAGTTTGCTGTGTGGATCGTGCGTTTCCCTGCTCACAGCTCCACGTGGGATGAATCCACAGGTTTTTTTTTCCTCTGCTGAAGATCATGTTTGCTGTCGCTCACGCTGTCCTGGCCGTTGCTGTCGTGGTTTTTGCTCTGAGCACAAGTCGAGCGTTGTGCTGAGTGATCTGGCAGACAGAGCGGGTTGCCCAAGCGCAGATCTCACAAACATGAGAGCCCTTTGCCCGCCCGCGTGCGTGTCAACATTTTCACGCAGGTACTTCCTTTTGGGAGCCTGACTCAGCACCTTTCTTTTCTCGAAGACATTGTTTGATTTTTTGGGGCTTGGTTTTGCCAGGAGGCTCTTGGGAGCCCTGTGCTGTCCGTGGGTCCTCGCCATGGGGCAGAAGCGCTGAGCTTCAGCCCAGTGCCTTGGGTGGGATCCGAGCCCGCTCCCCAGCACCCGTGGTTCCCTGGGTTGGGGAAAACCAGTAATTCCGCTGGGAATGGATGGATGAGGCTTTGAGTGTTAAAAAAATTCATCTTCCCCAGCCACACCCTGAATTATTTATTTCGGTGTGGTTTAGGAGGTGGAAAGCGGATGGACTGACCCGAATTCTTTGCAGCCTGGTCCTTAGCAGGAACGGAGGAGCTGGGGCTTCTCCTCAAAGTTTTTTTTAATAGCCGGTGCCTCCGCTTCCCTCCTCGGGGTTTGGCTGGTTCATTGCTCTTCCCAAAGCAGTCCCGCAGCCTGGGCTGTCTCCCAAATGCTCTGAGCTGCAATAGGCGTTAATAACAGCTACGCCGAGAGCTGCAGCTAGGAAAAAA